CACACACACACAGGTTCCCAGGCAGTTTTTAATGTTTTTTTTTCCTGCAGGACTTGCAGTGGTGCAAAGTAACGAAGTACATTTACCTCAATGCTGTGCTTGAGTACCATTTTGAGAGACATGTACTTTACTTGAGTATTTAAATTTGAGGTACATGGTGTACTTTTCCTCCACTACATGTATTTAATCCCTTTAGTTACTTCACAGATGTGGATGAATGATGTGAAATATAATCAAGTGTTAAATCAGACTTTATTTCCACCTGGAGTAAATTCACAAGCTACCCTGCAGTATACAAAGTCATTCAAACTAGCTGCACCTTTACCAGCTTTGAGAACACTTTCATGATCAATCATTATAAAACATATCATATATATTATTCTGAAATGGACCAATCTGCACAATGACTACTTTTACTGTCACTACTTTAACTATATTTTGATGAGAATACTTTTGTACTTTTACTTGAGTAACATTTTGAATGCAGGTCTTTTACTGTAACAGAGTATTCCTACACTCTGGTACTTCTACTTTTACTTAAGTACATGATCTGAGTACTTTGCCACCACTGAGGACTTGTAGAGTGAAGATGTGTAGCTCTGTCCCAAAGTGCTACACTATTATCCTGAGCTCTTCTCTCTGTGTAATAATGCAAGACAGGACAGTGTTTATGTACACAGGAAGTTGTCTTTGGGATCATACACTGAGTCACTGCCACCAAACACACTGAAGCTGTTGACCCAGCTGAAGTAAAGTAGAATTTATAGTTCACTAATGTTTCATAGATGTTTGACAATTAGTCAAAAAGAAATGGATCCAGGTTTACCTCTTACCTCCATACATAAGCAGTCCCTGGACCAGGAATATCTGAACTCTGTCCTGATGTCACTTCCTGTCTAGATGCTGTTTACTAGATTATGTAGACTTTTCATACATAAAAAAACTGCAGGAATATGTGTCACTATTTCACAGAGATCTAGCAGTGACAACAATACAGTTAGCAAGAGGGTTTTCCAGCATGGAATATTGTAACTGCTACAACACTGATATATCTTTGAGATATTTAGTACTCTTTAGAAGAAGTCATCTGAGCAACCTATAAATACCTGACTTTGGCCACCAGGAAGACACAAGTTAGAACATCTGAATAATACACTGCAAGTACTAAATGAAGGGAGATTGTGTTTTAAAACTAACGAGGGTCTATCAAATTTACTAAAACAAAATTGCAACACCTACAACAAACACCACAGCCTTTGCTCCTTTTATTGTGCCACCTTTATGCTGCTTGTATTCTTTGGTGATGTACAGTATTTTCTATAGTAAATCCACATCCTGCTGATGCAGTGCGACATGCTTTGACATGGACTCTTTCAGCCGGGTGCTTGGGTGGTACAGTTCAGGTCCCTGTGGAGTAAAAATCTTCCTCTGATCTCTGGAGCAGTGTATTTGATTAAAAGTAACACAAAAAATGGTGGCATGGTCAGTTGTTTATCCTCTCTCACACATAAGTGCGACATGGGATTTTGCTGGGAGAGCTCTGTGCACCCCCCCC